TAGGCTTAAAATTCACAGTCATTTAGGGAAATAATGCCTCACACATACAGACACACACAGAGAGGATTAGAGAATTAAAAAGGAATACTCATTGAGCAAGAGTTGAGAAAAGAGGAAATATAATGTGAGCTTCATTACCGTATCAACAACAGTGTCAGGTTTACTGATAACTCTTTATAGTCAGCAATTCAGGTCATTTTCTGGTCACTACTTTTTATGAAGACCTTATTTAGAACTAGAGGGAACCACAAGTAATAAAAAAGACCCATGTGTGACAGTGCCATCTGGTGTTTTGAGGAATGTGAATAGCAGTTGTGCACTTTCAAAAGTGCTGTTTCAACCTGTACTTTTAATGACTGATAAACACATGGATCGTGTGCTGATACCAGGAGGCTCATTGAGAAAATATTTAGCACATTCAGCTCATATTAAACAAATACATGATAAATAAAAATTAATAACAACTAAGCTGACAGGAGGATTAAAATGCAACACAAATAATAACACTGCATGCAAGAATGATTAACCTGGCCAAAAGAAAGAATATAGATACTTCCCTGTTTCTATTAATTTTTATAATAACCAGGTATTTATTTGCTTAATATTTTTCCTGTAATTTCATACTTCATATATTTTTGCATGATTAAGTAAAGTAACAAGTTTGTGCACGGTTAAAAATCATATTAGAGTTAACGGTTTAGTTTTACAATTTAAGTAAAATCATTGTCATTAGGTGCTGATAATGTGTCAGTACATCCAAAATGGTAAAGCTAACACAAGCTTTAATAAAATAGCCTGTTGTTTTCATTTTGTATGTTAAATGCACTTCTCAGTTTATATCACAGAGGTCACGGTATCAGAATCCAAGTCGGGACCCCTCAAACTTTCCTATATGACGACATTCAGTGCTGGATTTGTGGTGGCCATTGTGCTCAACTTGACTTTGTCCAAGTAAATTAGATTATATGCCACAAATGTTTGTTTAAATAAATATGGCTTCTACTGTAAATAATTTACTAACAGGAACAAGAACTGAAGGGTCCAATGAGCATGGACAATCCAGCAGCAGCACATGAGGAAGTATCAGTGGACTCATGGAAGGTAACATTAACTGAATGACTTTGGCCACATACTTTTAACCAATTTAATAATGAGTGAATGTGTTTTGTCAGTGAAGTCTTCTGGTGCTTCCTCCACATGAGGTGAAAATAAACAGTGAGAGTTATAATGCTACAGATGAACACTTCTCA